CTTTAAAATAAAAGGAGAGTTTTCTCTATAAGCAAACAAATATAAACACCAATGAAACCAAACTTCTCCTATAGGTAAGGCAATGCCCACTTTTGGTGTCGGTCAAGATTTCTGGAAACCCCCGAAATCTGGGTTAGCCCGATTGTCCTTAAAAGCGACCATATATGGGCATATCATAGCATAATGTTCACCATGGTGAAGATTGTTCTAATTGTGCTTATCATCATCAGTAGCTCAGATGTAATGAAACTAAAACATTGAACTATCATTATGCCATTTCTCTCTACACCTTGCTAGCTGCCACTTCAGCATGGTCTATAACTTCTCTTCCTTCCTTAGATGAAAAAGGTCATCATCAGTTTATGAATGACGGGCAGTCCTTTTGAACCCCTCATCTCCGTCCTTTTGAACCCCTCATCCCCGTCCTTTTGAACCCTTCATCTCCGTCCTTTTTTAAACCCTTCATATCCGTCCTTTTTTTAACCCTTAATCTCCGTCCTTTTGAACACTTTCTTTATCCCCGTCCTTTTGAACCCTTTATCTCCGTCCTTTTGAACCCTACACCCCCATACCCCCCCCCCCCCAAACCTTTCCCTGAAATCTGAGCCCCTAAGGTAAAAACTCCCAGAAATCAGACAAATGAAATCAGTGTGAAAGGGCATAGGAAGCAAGAATTTTTGTGTTGTTACACCCTCAAAGACACAATTTAGACCATTTAGGTGACTGGCTTCAACCCTGCCTGTCAGGGCCAGCCCCAGATGAGAGGGATACAATGTCCCAGCATAAAGACTGAAGATACTCAATAAAAATTCTCCCCACACGAGAATCAAACTCGGGTTTTCGTGTGCCACGGCCAGGCACCCAACGCTACACCAGACGCCAGTTCAAGGAAATTTTGTCTCCGTCCCATTACACAAAAATAAAGAGAACCAGCACTCCCGTCCCATTATACAAATATAAAGAGAACCAGCACTCTCACAACTCACTTGTAACTATTGTGTCTCCCATCAAAGCCAATGACAACACCTTTTGAGCTCACAGTAGGCAGAGAAGCCTTCAGGTATTTCGCCAGACCCTACATCAAACAAAACAAGTAGTATGTTATGACAGGATTTACGCCATGAAGAGAGTAGCAGCAGCAAAATAACCTAACCATGCTTAACACAATCAATTTGAAAGGCAAACATTATTTATACAAGCATAATAATAAGTACAGACATGATCCCTTCCCGTCTTTCACAAACACACATGTACAAATGCTTCTGTCCAGCCTTTCACATAGGTATGCACAACACACACACACACACACACACACATAAATGCTAAAACCCAGCCTTTCACACACACATACAAACACATAAACCCATAGACACTCAAGTCACAAGTACATGCTGGCACACACATATATATACCATATTCATAAGCAAAACGCATAACAGACTCCGACATTATATTAAGTCCCACCAACTTCACTAGGCTGAGTTGTTAGCTTTTAGCTTTAGTGAATGTTTTACGGCACTTACAAAACAAATAAAATAGGTCATAAGCCCCAAAGACTTAGACATTATTAAAGAATAATATATACAAATAAAAGAAGCAGGAAAACTAAGGACGATATAGGTTTGATAGAAAAAAAACAAGGAGCAAAGTACACCAGAGCACCTGTCAACCACCCACCTGAGTTGTTTGTATCATTGTCAAGTCATTCATCTGTGAATTACCGGGACCCATGCGTGTTCGTAGACCTGAATATCAAAAAACAAGATTTCAGTATCACCCAATTGCTGCTCACAAACACACATGATGATTGCATAGACCTAAAAATTGCTAAAAAACTAAAAGAATTAGAACCTTACCAAAACAACGGAAATTCTTCTGGAGGTGAGCAACTGAGTAAGTATTTTTTTATTGCGATTTCAGACAACACAGAAAAATAACCGAATCACACCAAACAAACGGCTCATCCAATACCGTACCTTCCAGTGGTGTCTCGAAATTAATATGAAATTTACGTTCTTCGTCTTGCACATGAATTCCACAGAGCAAAAGATATTTTATCCGGTATCTTCATCTTCCTGCTTGGGATGAACACCTTCCTGCTTGGATTCATTCCACATTGACTAAGTTCATCCATACAATTCATAAAGTAAAGACCAAGACGATAAAGGGTTTATTGTAGGCACGTAATCAGATATAATTATACATAGTTCTCAAAAGCGAGTTCTGAGACAGTATGCCATTACTTATATATATATATATATATCAAAATGCTTGAATCTTACCATGGCTTAAAAAAAAAAAAAAAGCAAAGAATTCTAAGAGCAAGCTGATTAAACTGACCTGCAGTGCCAAACTCCATTCTGTGCAACAGCAATCGTTTCAACTCCGGGATATTCTTTTCGTCCACAAGAGCTTTGATTTCAAGTCTTGTCTTTTCATTCTGAACAAGAAAAGATCTATTGTCAGGAAGGAACTCTTATTTATTCTTTCTTTCAATTTTGTTTGCATTTGTGTGTGTGTGTGTGTGTGTGTGTGTGTGTGTGTGTGTGTGTGTGTGCGCGCTGTAAACAGTACTGTCTGTCTGTGAAACGACAAGATGGACAGTGCTTTGCTTAAATCCTCATTGGTGGTAACAGGAAGAACTTCCTTTGGGAAAATAAGTCTAATCTTACTTTATAAAATTAAAAAATAATCTTCTCACTTTAAAATGTCAAAACACTTACACTTACATATTAAACATTCATGGAAAGATTGAGGCAGACCTTAACAACAAGTTTTAAGTACCCACTATTAAAGAGTACCATGATCCACAAAGAAAAGAACAAGGAAAGATATATAAGGCCGACAGATGTTTGATAAGAAAGTTGTAGTTTTAGTTGAGGTTTTACGGCGCTCGCAACTGCATAAGTTCATATGAGCGCCAAGGGGTGGATGTCAACAGAGAAGTCCTTACAAGGAATCAAAATTACTCTGCTCTGCTCACCTCTCTAGCTTCAACAGCACAAAGTCTGCTTCGACTATCAAGGCACCCCGGAAACAGCGGGTCACAAGAGTGTGACAAACATACAAAAGAAGTAGAGGAAAATAATAATAATAATAAAAATGAAGATCATTTCTATATCGCCCACTCCCATGTAAACACAGCTCTAGGCGCTTTACATAAATGCATATTTATGAACAATATTCACGCACGCGACACACACACACACTTACACTCATACACCCTCACACACACTAACACACACAATCACACACACACTCACGCACACATGTGCACACACATGCACGCCAAACACACACACACACACACATAGTAAGGATTAGGAAAGAAAAAGCAGCAGTTCCCTGTTGCAGTTCTGGCAGTTATGGGTATGACATTGATGAATCAGCCCATTCACAGTTACAATTCTACAGAGCATAAGAACATGGTTAATATTCTCCCCTTTGGGAATGGCCTAAAGACACTTCAGTCAGTAGCACTGCCCCGTAGGGTTTTGATGGGAAAGAAGGAACAAACCACACCACAGTATCCGCCAGCCACACATGAAATTTCCTGCTTCACAAACCTTGTCCCATAACAGCCACTTCCTGATTTCGTTATCCACAGCATTATCTCCGGTTGGCTCAAAATCAACATCTGTATTGTTTGAGGATGACATGGTTGCAGTCGGAGAGAAGAAAACTTCTTCAATATGTTCTGTCTTTGGCGGCAGCCACAGCCTCTCTCTATACTACAGGCAAAACCAGTCACTGCCTGTGGACCTCTCTCTATACTACAGGCAAAAACAGTCACTGCCTGTGGACCTCTGTCTATACTACAGGCAAAACCAGTCACTGCCTGTGGACCTCTGTCTATACTACAGGCAAAACCAGTCACTGCCTGTGGGAAAATAAATCAAATGTAAATAAAACAATGATACACACACAGGAGACAGAGTTTATATTTTTGAGTGCACAGAGATTACATCATTTTTGTAACTATCTTGAGAAAATTTCCATTAGGTGGCACCAAAAAGTTGAGGGTGACTGTCTTCAGATGCATTTCAAGAAAGGATTTGAAAATTACCCATACAAATCTGGCAAAGTGAAGTGCCAATGCAATGACCAGCTTTTTCTTACTAAAGTTGACAGTAATTTTGAGTTTGTTTCAATTTGAGTCTATCCGCACCTTTTCAAATCAGTGTATAGTGTACATGATATTTGAGGGAAGGCGAGATTACATATAGTGACATACACGGTAGACACCTCAGCAATTTTCCAGTTTGGAATGATTTATTCAGACTTTGTTATAACTCAGGTAAAAAGGTAAACATTCAACCTTCAGATTTCCCTGATAACTATTTTTTTCCTGTAGATTCTATTCCCCTACTGTCATTTTCTACTTGAAAAGTCACCAGAAATTTCATCCTTAGGCCTTAGATAGATGTTTCATTTTCAGACTTTTACATTTACTTGTGTGACTAGTCCATATTGTTCTAGGTGCTGCATGTTCGTTTTGCTCCACAGCCCCACTTCCATGCATGCTGCTATCACTCAATACGAAATGCACTAGTCACATGCGGTAGTCTGAAAATAAAGCCTGTCAATTTTTTTTAGTAACGGAAAAGGACAAATAAGAAGACGTCTAACTTTTAAAAATTAAGTAATCAGGTAATTCTTAAGGTTGAATCCTACATAATTTATTACCCCAATCTACCAAGTCTGAAATAAAAATGTTCTGAACTGAAAAACTGCAAGCACCTTTATCCCATGGTACCATGTCCACTATAATAAACATGAAACACACCAATAAACATAGTCCCAAAGTTAATGAGGATCTAAATTCCAAATTTATGAGACAGTAGCCAAGATTCGAATTGAACGGAGAAGAACACAGATTGACTGAGCTTGAGATTGTCTAACTAGCCTACGAAGGTATCTCTATATTATATATATATATTTGTGAAAGTCCGTCACTTTGGTCGCCTAAAACCTCCGAACCACTTAACTTTCGAATTTGACAATATTAACGGTGGTTAAGAATCATATAAAGGGTGCAGTTTTATCGAGGAGCCTGAAGTCACTGTAGTTTAATTTTCAGTTTTTCATTAGTTTCGTTTAGATCTATTCTTGGGAAAGTCTGTCTTCTAAAACGCCATTGTAAACAAGTGAGGTTTCCGTTCACTAGCCGTTCGCACTGATTCCACACCTTTGAAATTCTAGAGTGAACAACTACGAAAAAGGAATGGAGAATCAATCTATACATCCATCACATATTTGGCAACTTGGAAACATGTTTCACTTTTCCCATAAAACTGCAACAGCTGCAGAGTTGAAAGTTGGTAAGTACCTGCAAAAAGATAGATAGGTCCCCATGACAGAGCCTAATTTTTTATTTATTCATTTCCTGAGTTTAGTAAAAAATATATTTGACAAAAAGTTGACATCCTTCTTTGGCTTTTGTAATTATTCCACTGAGAAACTTAATAATGATGGCTTGACTGACAAACAGCAAAAAATAGGAACTACTGAATTGTTTTTTTGAAAAGAAACAAAAAGGCGTCTTACTGATAGTGCATTATATATTTAAACCTGAATAATTACAAATGAAACCTGTGTACTCAACAAATTTCTAATACTAATTGGGCCTAAAACAAGTACGGCTAGACTGGCAGGCTAGCCGTACTTAATAACGATGGCTGAACGGCTGTGTACTCAACAGGTTTCTAATACTAATAGGACCTACAATAAGTACGGCTAGACTGGCAAGCTAGACGGCTAGACCAGCCGTACTTAAGGACGGCTAGATTGGCAGGCTAGCCATACTTAATAATGATGACTGAATTGTAAATAATATAATTTTAGTTTGCAATACCTATTGCATTTCAGACGAAACTAAAAGGTGCCTTACTGACAAGCATGTATTTTAAACCGGAATAATTACTGGTACTAGATCTAATGAGACCTGTGTAGTCAACAGGTTTCGGTCAATATTAGGGCCTACCTAGATCTTAAGTACAGCTAGACTGTCAGGCTAGACTAGCCGTACTTATTTTATAAGCCACTTCGCCTGAATAATTACTAACCAGACCGGTGTACTTTATAGGTTTCGGTCAAAAGGGCCTATACCTAAGTATGGCTAGCTACTTCGATACAAAAATTCTATCCCGAGTCTGAGGGTTCAAACCAAGTAAAGGCTAAGGAAATGGCCAGCTCTATTCGGACTCGAGTCCAATTAGATTCTTATCTACTCGGACTCAAGTCCGAATATGGCTTATATATCTATTTGGACTCCGGTCCGGAAAAAAAGGTTTTATCTATTCGGACTCGGCTTCTAAGTGAGTTATGTGTGAGTGTAAATAGGTTACATAATATAACTGTCGTCGGGGGACTTTACATAAAACCAGATTTCGAACTAGAATTACCAAGAAAGGACTGTGTGTAATTGTGTCAAAAGTAAAAGTCAAAAGACTGCACTCTCATTGCACGATGTAGTGTCTAAGTACACAGTAACTGGCAACTCGAAATCAGGGTTTTCCACCACCACTACAGCATCATCATTCATCATTACTTCCAAGGCTGATGTTAGGGGACCGTACGCCCAAATAGTGCTTGGTGCTAGAGGACCGTACGCCCCCATAGTGTTGGGCGCTAAGGGACCGTATGCCCTACCTGCGCGAAGGCTTGGTGTAAAGGGACTATACACAGATGTGCATGCATCTGGACTTTGCAAAAATACTGGAGGAAAACAGCCAGTTTAATGAAGCTCCGGACATTAGGAGTTTATTACTAGGAGAATGTTTGAAATGTCTGACAATACGATTGTGGGGATCCAGTGGCGGTGGGTTAACCAAACTAACAAACAAAGACAGTCACAGCTCTTTTCTTGTTGTTGTTGTTGCTGTTGTTGTCCCTAGTGGTTTTTGTGGCTGTTGTATGCTGCTGATGGTTTGTATTTGTTGTAATATTTGTTGCTTCAATATTTGGGCTGTCTATAATGTGTACAGATAAAGTCAACTCTATTGTACAGAAAAAGTCTTTGTGGATTTTTGCCACACACTTTAAGTTCGCCTTCTCAACTGTTTCAGTAATTTCTTCCAGAGGGCAAAAAAAATTTTCATCTTTAAATTTAGCAAAAGCTTTGTCAAATTTGTCGAAAGATTTGAATGCCTGCTCTAGAAAGCCTTCCTTGTCAGGCGGAGAAGATTAAAACTAGGACCACCACGCTGGGAAGCGAAGCGGAAATGGTAGATCTAGATCTAGATGATGTAAGATTCCATTAGAATTTCTAATCATCAAGGTAAAAGAACTCCGTGTTCACTCTGTCGCAATTAACACCGCGTTAGTTGTCACAGCGTCACTCCGTCGCAATTAATACTACTGTTAAAAAAAAAAACCATCTGGGAATGGGAGCTTACACTTACATACACCCTGATCAACTTGAATCACAGTCAGGCTACACACACACGCCAACTTAGATATTTTTAAACGAAGAGACTATCTCTCCAAATGCTCAGGAAAATAAACTTCTATCTTCTATTTGTCCTCTAACAGTTTTCGTTCTCAAGATTTTTAGGTTATTAGTGAGATTTAGGCGTCATCTTTCATTTTATGCCATTCTGCGAGGACTGGGAAGAAGCATTTTTTGTATCGAAGTCAATTTTTAGAGCTAGATCTAGATCTAGATTCTAGATTTAACTCTGTAAAGTAACAAATTATGGGTAAAAACAGGGGATTTTTTTTTTTACAAGAAAGATTTTAGTTTTGGCCGGCACTATTTCTCCGAACGTTCGGGAAAATAAAGCTGGGCACTATTTCTCCGAACACTCTGAAATCACATCCTTTCCCGCAAATTTTGGATATTATATATAGAATCTAGATCTATATTATAGCAGATCTATAGGCCAACCAAAGATTGTTCGTATACAATATGGTTCAATCGGTCCAAAAAATGTCCGCAGTAAATATATAAAGAAATGCTACAGTTCCAAACAGTTTTTCGCTACACATATGACGTGTTGCCTATGAAGGGTGCTGCTGTTGAACTTAATGTGTTGTGTTCACTCGTGTGCTGTCTAGATTTAGATCTAGATCTACGGAGGGTTATTGATAACGACACATAGAACTAGAATCTGCATTTGTCGCGGCTGCGACCCGCGACCAATCAATCGTGGCTCGATTTTTTGGCATTTTTTGTCCCCGAATCGGGAAATGAAAGTCAAATAATTAAAAAACATTTTTTAAAAGAAACCGAACCTCTTTACTTTTGAAAGAAAGTTCACTCAGCTTCACTTCGTCTATTTCTCACTTGTTGTCACCACGTTGATTTGTTGAATTTGAATACGTTAGTTACTTATTTTTCCCTCTTTGTGGTGTTTTATTTTGTTAGTGTGTATTTTTTTTCCTTGTTATTGTTCTGATGTGTTGCTTTTCTATCAATTTTTTTTGTTAAGGAAAAGGGGTGGGGGGGGGGGGGATGTTGTATAGTGTAACGTCATTTAATTTGATGTTCCTACCTTCATTAGATTCTCTAAATATATATATATATATATGTATAGATTTAAATGTGTTATGTTAGAGCGTACGTTCCACCAAAACAGATAGCATGTACTGACACTGGCAGGCCCCTTTTAATGTGATTCCATAATTTGCATGTTTTATCCTGTACTTTTTTTTAAAATTACGCACATTTAGGGTTAAAACAGCCAATCTTCTTCGGACAGGTGGACGCACGCCCTTATTTGTTAATTTTTGTGGTTGTTTACGAGCTGTTTTAATTTTGATTTCATTCTGTTGTGAAACCTTTCTTTTTTATGTTTTTACACTCATCTAAAAATCTCTAGACTACCGGTAGCTCTTGAAAATTGAAATAGATATTGACCCCAAAATTTGCTCCTGTGTGTGTGTGTGTGTGTGTGTGTGTGTGTGTGTGTGTGTGTGTGTGTGTGTGTATGCATGTGTGCATGTGTGAGTCTGTCTGTGTGTAGTAGTAAGTGTGTAAGTGGAAAGTGAGGAGTGTGTGTGTGTTTGTTTTTCGGGCTTTACTTTATTTCAGCCTTTATTTTATTCAGTAACAGTTCAAAGTATACAAAAATAGAAACACAGGATCCATTCACTCCAGGGCTCATGAGTCGTACTTCTCTTTCAGTTTCACTCATTCAATTCCCGTGTTCTCTCCCGCGGCTCATCCCCGTCCGCATGACTTTCACACCCCACACCCTCCCTCCAGGCACACACAAAGAAAATCTCACTCATTCCCTTGCACCCTGCGAACCATGGACAATAATATCTAATAGGCAAAACACTGCCTAAGCCGCATTCCTTTCGTTCGTGAGCTGTGGACCAGGCCAGGGGGGTCGGTCTCATCGTCTTTGTAGTTGCTGTCGCCTGTGGATACACTCGTACATTCTTCCTTTCACCCGTTCTTTCACTCACACAGTCTCTCCATCCACAGCTCAGCTCGTCATACATTCAAAAGTTGCCCACTGATCATGTTTAGTTAGTGTGAGTATAAGTTTGTGTGTGTACATGTGCATGACAGTGGTGGGTGTTACTGAAAGTTGTCTGTAGGCAGGCTTGCCATGCGGTGTTCCTTCCCAGACCAGAGTCAGAATGAAAGTTGGCGCCGAACTCTCGCAATAGGCAAAAAATCATGAGACCGGAAGCCGGAAACTGTTCGGTGAAATAAAGATCGGCACTATTTCTCAGAACGTTAGGAGAAATAGTCATTTCGTTTAGTTTTTGCTGGGTGACTAAATGCAAAATGGTAGTGTCAATTGCCACCGAGTGACGCGGTGGCGATTGACAAAAATTGACTTATTGTCAATTGCCACCGAGTAAATTGGAGCTCTTTTGCGTTTGTGGGTAGATCTAGCTTATTGACTTATCGAAGTGATTATTTGGACTCGAGTCCGAATATGAAAAAATGTTATTCGGACTCTGATTCTTGTCCAGCATGACATCACTTCCGACTTCCTGTGACTCGTGAATCCGGCTTCCTGTCCTGCCTCACTCGTGACTCGCCTCAGGCTGGGTAGAAACCGGGATCACTTCGGGCAAAAAGGCGTTTTGTGCAGGAGCCGAGTTTTAATCTTATGATGAATTTGAGGCCAGCCTGAAAAGTTATAGCGCTTCTAATAAATGTTTATTTATCAAGAGGTCATCAGAGGCAATTAAAGATGGCTCGTTAGCATGTGTCGGGGTCGGATGGGCGGCCTGCACACGTGTGGCTGTGTGCGTGTCGGGGAGGGTGGTGGGGGGCACTATCGGTCCGGGCTTTGAACGTCGCATAAGCGTCGGTCTTTTTCCCCCTGGCAACTTATCATTATTACAATAATAAGCTAGTCTTGACGTAGATCTACGTAATGAATACGTAATGAATTGTGCGCTGGTCTATGGAATCAAAAGTTGCCGTATGCTCAGCTCTACACAGCAACACAACTTTTTCTTGGTAAACAATCGATATGACACAGGCTTGTGTATTTGAACGAATCGGTCTTTTTTTTTTTTTTACACAGCTCATAATATGCCAGGTGGTCTGCTAATCTTCAATTTTACCTTTTTCTACAACAATGAAAGTGGGAAACGTGGGGGGGGGGGGGGGGAGAGGCGTATCAATGAGGCGGCGGGCAATGGATCGGCAGATAAGGTGTGGGGAAAACAAAAAAAATGGCGGAAAATTGGAAGCACTGAACGTTAGATCTATAGAACGAAGACACTTCCTTTTTTCCGGACCCGAGTCCGAATAACATTTTTTCATATTCGGACTCGAGTCCGAATAAGAATTTTTTTTATTCGGACTCGAGTCCGAATATGAAAAAATGTTATTCGGACTCTCGGACTCGAGTCCGAATAACGACGGCCTTCACTTACAATTGTGCTCGCGTGCTCGGTGTTGTGCGTTCGCCTGTGTGTGTGTGTGTGTGTGTGTTTTCCTGACCCCCGTCCCCCGATTTATGTTCCCGGATATAACGTGAATTTCTGCTTGAAAAGTTTGTGTGCGTTTGTGACCTTCTAGGCCTACTTCTAGAATTGCCTGTGTTGGTTCTACAACAAAGTGTAGGCTAAGGCTAGCCTAGATCTAGATACGTCTCATTGAAAACACGCCAAGTTGGTACCGTAGCTCTAGACTAGATGCTTGTCCAATGAAATTAGTTGAGAATAAATTGACCCATGGGACACACATTATGTATAATGCTAAAGATAGTGTTGTTTTCAGACTTGACACCGCTTCATTCGGTGGCAATTGACGCTACCATGCAAAATAGGTTACTTTGCCAAGGTCGAGCAGTCTTGTTTTCTCGCAGGACCTTTTGAAGGTATTTTCAAATGAAGGTTAGGGTTAGGGTTAGAATCTAGGTCTAGATCTAGGCCTCTTCTTTATAATTGTGTTTGATGGGGTGGTCGCTCGTTATGGAAGTCCTCCCGTCCCAAATAATTGATTTGCGACAGTTTTAGTGGCTTTGTTGATCTGCAGCATACAGTACTGCAGTTTGACCCCCTGAAACAGTGCAACTGTGTGCGGGAGTGAAAGTAAAAATTTACCCAGCTGTGGAAACTGCAATGTGCATACAAACCGCCACGATCCAGGCTACGGCTACAAATTGGATAACATCAACAATAACAAGAGATCATCAAGTCGAAAAAAAATTGTGTCCAAGCGAGGAAGTGTGCATTGTTGTTGAAAAGAATGCACTGTGTGACATTATTCGAAACACCTCTCTCAGCCAAACCAACAAAACAACGAACCATAAACACAATGCAAACCTAAATCAAGAGCCGGTAGACCATTCAAGGTTACAAAAGGCAAATGTAAAATCACCGAAGTCACAGGCAAGACTTCTTGTTTATTATTGTTCTCCTTCTCTCTTATCTCTCCCCACTGTCCGGTGTCCAGATTTTTCCCGAGCGGCTATTTTTCATCCATGGGGACATTGGTTATTTGTTGTGCTTTCACTGTAGTTCTTTTTATGGTCAAACAATACTATAATTTTTAAGAACCAAAAAACAATTAGAAATTATTAAGAAAAAAACGAGCTTCTTTATACAGTCCTGCTATTCATATCTACTTCTCTCTTCAGAATTCCCTCTCAAGCTGAACGTGTTCACCGGCATGAACGTACACAAAAAAGCTTTACTTAGAAATGTCAAGGCCATCCTGAATCATGTCAAGTTCAGAGTTTTTTCACCTTATAAATTAATCTGCAATGTACGGTAAACACCCGTTCAACTATAGGGTATCGACTCGATAGAAGCAGATCACCCAGATTAACCTTTCGTCGTAACATTCCACACGTAGATCTACCAATTCAGCAGATTTTATTAACAAGAGGTCGGAAAAAGACACGGCGATTGGTGTTATTATAACGCTATAGCTAAGTAATAGTAGGCTAAGTTTTTACCGCTGTTTACTTTTTTTGAAGACTAGATCTATAGCAAACGCATCGATGAATGAGGTAAAATGCTCGAGAAAGACATGGGAAGTATATAGCTGTATAATACGTACACAGTGACAGTGTGAACTAATGGAGTCCACTTCTTTATAGATCTACAATTGCACGTTCTCTCTTCAGTACTCTCTCCTCAAGCTGAACATGTACACCGGCATGGCATGGGTGTACCCCAAGGAGATTAAAAGTTCTAAGCTCCTTGGTGTACCCAAGACCGATACAACTAACAAGACAGGACGGACAATCCTTCTTTAGATCTATGTCAGTCATGTCCTCCAAGGTTCGTTTCATCAGCAGCTGTACGTAGCACCGACGTGGCGCACGGTGAGACCAACGCGCGCGTAACTGACGTTATGAATGATGTAATCTTCAAGAACGAGTGTTCAAGTTCAAGGCACAGGCCTATACCATGACGCAACAATGGGTCTGTATTTCTTTTTAGAATTTGCGGAATCCGAGTTCAATCATTCTCGTGTGGTGGGAATTATCTTTTGTCAGGTTCTCGGTTCTCCTGCTAGTGGACGGTGAAGCCTATCGCTCTTTCAGCCCGGGTTGGCCCTGGCAGGCTAGGCCGAAGCCCGCCTTCTATAATTAATTTTTAAATTGTGTAGATGATCAAACAAGTCCAACAGTTTAAATATCTAGGATATATGATAACATCTGATGCCAAATGTTCCACAGAAATAAGACGGAGAATTACAATGGCTAAAGCTAGTCACGATGGAATATATAGATTTAACACATTGCTCAAGCATACCCTGACGCTTTCTTTCCCTTGGTGGAATCAGCTTTGTTTGAAGAACCAAATATGCGCACATATATTATATAT